ATGAATCCAGAAGGCTTTGGTTGTACACTGCACAGTTATGTAGTGTCAGACATTCATATTTAATGGCAACTTGCAGAAACGTATTTATACCTCACCATTACATAAGGAAAAAAAAGAAATTGGGAACAGCTGTAGATATCCCATATACTAAGCACCATATAGACAGACGCTGCATTAGGCTTTTGAGATTCTCCTAAATCCTCCTCTCCTCTTCACCTTTCTTCATCTATTTTTTTTTTAATATCAATTTCTTCATCCTTGTTGATTGTCCACACTGCTGATCTCCTGCAAGCTCTTTGTGCCCCCACCAGGGGTGGACTGACCAGTTGGAAACTTGGGCACTGCCCGAGGGCCCCGAGTCAGTAGGGGGCCCCATGAGATGCCCCTGGTACCTTTTTCATAGGCTTTTTTGAGTTTGGGCAAGGACACAGGGGCCCCATGATCCCCTATTGCCTGGGGGCCCCATGAGCTGTCAGTCCGCCCCTGGCCCCCACCTATCTGCATACATTCCAGGGACTGCTCTGCATAACATTTCTCAGATGAGTTTGATGGTGACACTGGAACATGTCTATGCAATGTGCATTGACACAGGCTGCTTGACAGGGACAGAAGGTTGTGCAATTCCTTCCTATTATAAAGATAAAAATGGCTTTTATGGCAGGATCTCCAGGTATTTTAATGAAGCTGCACATTTAAAAGGATGAAAACGACTTTTTGAAATTAAATGAACATGTTATAGCTCATACAGTATAAGATTAGACTAAAATATACGTTCTAAAAAGGAAAAGGCGGCACCATCGAATCCTGATTAATACCAACAACCTCACAATCCATCAATCTTATGAAACCCGTTATTGCAGTATGCCACTTACTGTTCATGAATACCCAACACAGGAATGTCCTAAGAACTTTCAGAATGTAAGGGAAGGAGAAGGATCCTTAACCCTGTGAAAGCTCCAACCCAGACCAACCTAGCACTTTCTTTCCCAGCATGAAATGTAGTAGCAGCAGAGAGAGCTGACTATCAAAAGTTCCTGTTGCTTTGCCCTGAATTACTTGAAACAAAATAGAGATCCATAGAGATAAAGAACCTTTTTATTCATGTAGGAAAGGCCACCTACCTGCCAAGGAAATGCAGTACCGAGCTGTGTCTGCTGGGTGCAGGTCGCTTTTCGTTTGGACAATCCTCAGAGGAGAACATATAGATTAAATCAGACTTCCACAAATGTCAAACTTGCTGTGTTTGCAGAAGACATAAAATACAGATAAACTGCTAGTTATGAGTAGATCTGACTGTCACAAGCCTGTAAAGCAAACCAGTTCCAAAGCAACCTCCAGCACAAATTTCACCCCAGCACAGCTACAAGTAGAAAATGTCATCTGCCTTTTTTCTCTTCCATTTATATGACCTTAAAAAAAAAAAAAAAAAACAGTAAAGATAAAACGCAAGCTGCACATTACCTTGTAGAAAAAGAGCAACTGTTAACATTTACAAATGGGTGAAGCTCTTAAATGGACAACTCCAGTCAAAACACACAACTGTATTTATACTGTATATGCTTATGATCTACACAACCATTCTGTACTATATGACCGCATGCAAAAAAAAAAAAAAAAATTAAAAATTTTTTTTTTTTACCTTGATGCATTGCTTGCATTAAAGGTAAAAAATATTTTAGATTTCTCTATCCTCCCCACTCCCTGTGGAAAGGGGAAGAGAGGGGAGAAGAGGAGATCAACAATCTGCATGGCTGCACCTCTTCTCTCCTCTCTTCCCGCAGGACTCTCCAGCAGGAGCCAATGGCTCCTACTGCTATCAATTAAATGCAGTGAGGAGGGAACGTTGGACTCCATAGACACTATCTCCATAGCGAATGGTTTACTATGGGGACACACTAATAAGAGGAGGAGCCAAGATTGTCACAGGAAAAGGAGGACCAGAGCAGGTGAGTATAACAGGTTTGTAATTTTAAGAAAAAAATAAGCCTTTAGTAACACTTTAAGCTGCCGATGCAGCAGCCTCAAGCTTACCTGTGTCCTGCTGGTGCCAAGGGTGCTTGTATCTGCCTGAGCTACAGTCTACATTGATGAATCCAAAATGCAGTATTAACTCCTACACCTTTAGTGACAGCCTCTGCTGGAGGGAACTATCATTAAGGCACCAAACACCCCTTCCCCAAAAACGAGGCTTGGAACCAGAGCCTCCGGCGCCTGGAAAAGACGTCACTGCACCTGGGAGTAATGCCCCTGCATTATCTGGTCTGGTCAGGAACACAGCCAGGCCACAAACCAACGCAGCTACCACATGCATCCCCACCGAAGTGTTCTATAGTGCAGACAGAACACGCACCCAGAAACCCAGACTGGGAACCCATGCTGGTCCCTGTCAATGTGGTGTGTTCCCTTCCAGACATGGCCTTCTCCAGGCACAGAAGGAGAAAGGGAACCAAGCTACCTCCTTTCAATACTGAGGAGTGGTCCTGGAGGGCAATCTTGCAGTAAATCGTACTAGCAGCTCCCATTGGAGCAAGGTAGATAAAATAATGGGTGGAAGAAAAGGATAGTCAGAGAAACAGAGGCCTCCCTCACCCAGGATCCAAGTGATGCATCTCCTCTGTCCGGAAGAAGTACACAAAACTGACCAGTTCAGCAGAGAGACCTCCTTTTAAAAGGGCATTTGGTGATGCGTTTCCTGTTCCTGTTGAAGGCGTTGCCTATATCTCATGGGCTGTCCTGGAAGACTATTTGGGAAATAGTATTACTACCACTATTATTACGAATACTAATATTAAAAACAAAAAATTCATCACTCTCAAAAAAAAAAAAAAAAAAAAAAACCACAACCAAAACTAAGCAGATACAGAGTAACATTATCCAGCTACCTTTAAAAAATTGGTACCAGGTTTTTATAACATTTGTGGGACAGTTTTGTCTTAAAAATGTCAGTTTACAGATCAGGTACTTTTATTGCTAGCTAGATTTGAAAGTTTCAGCCACCATACAGCCAGCTTGGTAATCAAACACAGTCAACAAAGAATGGAGGTAGATCTGAGGGAATTACACTTGCTGTGCTGAATAATGATTTAAAGAGTATGTAAACCAAACATTTCATATTGCTGATGTGTCTACTGTACCATGTACTTGTATGAAAAAGTATCCTGTTCTCGGTGCATTGCTTACTTCGTGTGAAATCCCTGGTGTTCCTGCCATTCCCTCCGATTTCCTATTAAAAACTGACTACACTAGGCATGACAACACAGTGTGGTCGGTTGTCTAGCTGTGCTGGGAACTCAGAATGTCTTCCTCCAATGATCAGACTTCTGCTCACAGGCCTCCCCCCGCCACTACACACACACACACTTAGTAGGAAATTCAGTGTGCTGCTGTTTCTCCTCCCTCAGCTCTCTGTTCAAAGCTGCATAAGGAGCTTAGAAGGTATGTGATCACTTATAAAAACAGGAAAAAAGGCATTTATAATTGTTTTTTTACATCTAATAGGCCCCCATAGTGCAGCTGTTGTCTGTAAGGGTTCCCTCTTTACCCTTCAGCTGCTGCTGGCTGACACAGGGGAGCTGGGTCAAGTGAACTAGAACAGGCTGAAAACAGGCAAGTATATCAATTTTACTTTTACTCAGGTTAGTATAGGCATTATGGGGGGGGGGGGGGAGCATTTTAAGACTAATTAATGACTATATTTAAGCCTCCTTAATGTTACAGATGCAGTCACAGTCATGTTACATTGTAGCACATATAGAATTGGCAATATTGTGACTATGATCATCTTAATTCATACGCACCAACAAGCATTACTAGAACTGTATATCTGCATATACCTGCTAAGTGTAAGAAAAAAAAAATCTGTCTTAAATAACATTGCCACAAACCGAGGAAAGGTCTAATCAAGAAAGAATGCTGTGTTACAAAAAATCCTTAGGAATGCAGTTCACAAACAAACAACATCAGCGAGCGAATAAACAATTGCAGCGGCATAAATATACCAATCCTCTGATTATGGAGCGCTGCGCAGTGAGCCATAAACATGCCTGTAAGACGAAGTACATCGATATTAGAATTTGATAATTGGAGATGCAAAGGAAGTCTCTGAGCAGCTCACAGAGTATAGGAATAAGAATACTAATGTCCAGCATAGCAAGCCAAGTGAAGGAAGTATGTGGAAATCACAAAAAATAAATCTTACTGATACAGGAAAGGAAGCCATTAGACTAAAAAAAAAAAAATCATAGCACTCATACTGCAAGAAAGCATCACCTTAAAAATCTACTTTTTTTTTTTAATTAATCACCTTTCCCTGGATTTTTCGGTGCCAGTTTACTTTTGATGACAGTAGTGGACCACATCCATGTAATTTGCATCAGCATAGCCTCTTGAAATCTTTCTTGGAAAAGCATGTAAAGAGGTAACAATGCAGGAGAACAATTAGGAGACAGTGTTGTCACCTATAAAAACACAAAGTGCCTGAACAAGAACCTTTGAGCAGGATTACAAGGCATTTTTTAAATGAAAAAAATGTATTGAAAATGATCCTTTGAAGACAACATGGCTAAGATATGAAATTTTAGTGATCTGGTTTGCACGACCCATTAACCACTTGCCTACCGGGCAGTTATTTTTTTACAGGAATCTGAAGTTTAAGCAATCATTTATGGACTGAGCAAACTGAAAATCGGCATGTTTAACCACTTGCCTACCGGGCACTTATACCCCCTTCCTTACCAGGCCAATTTCCAGCTTTCAGAACTGTCGCACTTTGACAGTTGCACGGTCATGCAAGATTGTACCCATATGAATGTTTTATAATTTATTTCCTCACAAATAAAGCTTTCTTTTGGTTGTATTTTATCCCCGCTGGGCACTTTACTTTTTGTGCTATAAACAAAAAATTGCAAAAATGTTTTCTTTGTTTCTATTATAAAATTTTTCAAACAGGTATTTTTTCCATCACTAATGTGCGTTGATGAGGCGGCACTGATGGGCAACACTAATGAGGTGTCACGGATAGGTGGCACTGATAGGCGGCACTGACTGGCATCAGTTAGGCACAACCGCTGGGCACTGACTGGCACAACCGCTGGGCACTGACTGGTGGCACTGACTGGCAGAACTGCATTGATGGACACTGGTGGGTGTCACTGGTGGGCACAGGTGGGTGGCACTGCTGGGCATCGATCATCAGGGCACTGATCATCAGTGCCCTGATTATCAGTGCTGATCCCTGCTCTGACAACTGCCGGTTCTCGGCAGTACTTTACTCGCGCTCTGACAGCGTGAGGAAAGTGCAGCCGAGAACCGGCAATTGCATTTCCCGGTGATCAGCGTGTCATTGGACACGGCTGATCACGTGGTAAAAGGCCGCTGTGATTGGCCTTTTACCACATCACGTGATCCGCCTTTTACCACATCACGTGATCCGTAGGACACAGCGATCAGGGAGATCGCCGGGTGTGCGCCCCCAGGGGCGTGCAGGAGAGTGCGTTCTGCGACGACGTCATATGATGCCCTCCCAGAACTGGCCAGCCGCAGTGTAGCCGTCATTCGGCTATCTGCGGTTGGCAAGTAGTTAAAGACCATTCCATTGAACTGTGGCAAGTTACCAAATGTGTTACAGTATGGCAGCCTGTCCATTTTGAATGAGCTTTCAATGCACCACAACACAGGATTTAACCTCCCTGGCAGTATTCCCGAGTACAGCTCGGGGTAAAGTTTCAGTACCAAAAGCGGTAACCCTGAGCTACACTAGGGCTTACCATGCGGCGTTGCTCCGGGATCTGTTCTTCACTTACCTTGTCCTGCGCTCCCGCAATGTCCCTCCTGCAGCATCCCTGGCAATGTCCTCCGGCGGATGCCGGCATCTGTCTGCTGGGTTCCGTCCCCTGCTAGAGTCGGGACGTACGGGGGATGGAACGGCGGGAAATTTGAAGATGACAAAAAGTGCCATTCACTAAATACACTAAAATCACATAGTATAACATTACTGTATCATTTCACATACATTTTGTCCCGAGTGCTTTGGCCTGTGCCCTGCCAGCCTTTTTACTGTTCTTTCTGCCTGGAAACTGAGAAATGTCCATGGCATCCAAAAAGCGTCCCTTTATGTCAAAAGCGGTTTTAGACCAGCTAGAGAACAGCGATAGCAAATCAGAACCACTTGCAGAATTGAGTGATGATTTGTGAGGAAATTCGTCATCAGACACTGAAAACGATTTTGCGACTTTGCTCAGTGATGTGCGAACTTGGTGCTATATTTCAAATTTCAGTGTTTTTGGTTTGATTATATTAGAGAATTAAATTTATTATATTATTTTTTATGATTTATTAAATTATAATTTATGATTTCGTGTTTCAAATTGTAACATACCCGGGATGTTTACTAGACTCTTGTTCGGACAGATTTCAGTGAGTTATTCTTAAAAATTACAGGCCTACAATAAAAAAAAATACATATTTCCATGCCAAAAAATGTACCGCTTTGAGCACAGAAATATGGCCATAATCAGACCCCGCTAGGGAGGTTAACAGACCTGAACCATTGTTTTTTTCCAACACGGCACACCACAACACAATAATTGTTCACATTCTGTTGCACTGAAATGCATGTGTGTTGGGGTCTGCTGGCAACGCATGTTGGGGTGCCATACAAAACACTCTGCAGTCAGTTTTACTATGCACTACACAACACACAGGAGAACTGGATGTGACTTGTACAGGGGTGATTCTGTATCACAGAACATCACATCAAACAATGCCACCATCAGGCCCACCCTGCAAGCCAGAGTACTTGGTGTCATTCTTGACTCCAATCTATCCTTCCAGCCCCAAGTCCAATCACTAACAAACTCATGCAGACTCCACCTCCGCAACATCGCCAAAATCTGCACGTTCCTAACCCCAGAAACCACTAAGCAGCTCATCCGCTCCCTCATCATATCACGACTCGATTACTGCAACTCCCTCCTCACTGGCCTGCCTCGCCACAGGCTATCCCCACTTCAGTCGATCCTGAATACGGCAGCCAGACTTATCCACCTTACCAACCGCTCCGTTTCCGCCACCCCCCTCTGCCAATCCCTCCACTGGCTTCCGATTGCCCAACGGATCAAATTCAAAATCCTAACACTGACGTACAAAGCTGTCCATAATTCTGCCCCAAACTACATCACCGACCTAATATCTAAGTACCACCCCCTACACGCACTCTCCGCTCCTCACAAGACCTCCTTCTCTCTAGTTCCCTGGTCTCCTCCTCCCATGCCCGCCTCCGGGACTTCTCCAGGGCATCACCCATACTCTGGAACTCCCTACCCCAATCCATCAGACTATCACCTACTCTCCTCTCCTTTAGGCGCACCCTGAAAACCCATCTCTTCAGGGAAGCCTACCCCACCCCCTGCTGATCCCCGACCTCCTCCACTCTTCCTACCACTCCATCCCTCTCAGCTATTTCCTCCTGTGCCACCATCCCCTCCCTCCTAGATTGTAAGCTCCAAGGAGCAGGGCCCTCCAACCCCTCGTGTATCGCATTGTATTGTTATTGTACTGTCGCATGTTCTGTCTCCCATTGTAATGTACAGCGCTGAGCGAACTGTTGGCGCTTTATAAATACTGTATAATAATAATCAAAGAGACATCAGTCTCACAGACTAACCTACCAGTGGCAAAGTGATATGAGGTGCATAACATCACCCTTCCACTGTACACCAATATCTTCACAGATGGAGGGGGAGAAACATAAAAAAAACTGGCATAATTCATCTAACCTACCCCACACTGAAGTAAAATGATAAATAAAAAGGGCAATCACAACCAGGCTGTCATTTCAGAAGTTTAGTATAAAAAAAAAAAAAAAAAAAAAAAAAAGAAAGCAGTAGTTCTTCTAGGCAACACATACAGTTCTTATTATCAATACCCAAAGTTCGACTTTTGCCTTATTACATCAAGTAAAAGTTCCCTGTTGCTTTCTCAATTGAGAAAAATGTCTGCCAGAACATTTATCTCCAAAACGCAGAATCAGCAGCTAACACACTTCACTGTCACATCATAATCCAACACTGTCCTTCTTGAACATTTTGCTGAATTTTTAAGCAGTCGTCACTGAACTGTGTTGGAGCTGCATTAAAAGTCTGTCATTCATCACAGTATTTAGTCAGTCTTCCCAATGAAGCAGATTTAATGTTAGTTTTCCATCTACACATTCTCAAACTTGCTTCACACTTTTCCACTGACGAACATCAGCTGTCACTGGATGAAATGCACCCTGTCGACAAGTATCAAGCTAGACAAAATTTGCTATAAAACAAACTATATATGGCACATGATCTCAAATCTGGTCTGTAAGATAACAGGCCACACACAGCAACGCTTACCATTGCTTCCATAGCTGGTGCTTCATGCCTTAAGGAAAAACGTCTTCATACTATCTGCGGTGCAATTCACTGGGCCATAGCTTTAAGTTGCAAAACCTCTATACTTTCTTTTTCGCAAATTGACCAGGATATGATTATGCTGATGGAGAGGATTGTCCATACACTACAATATACCCCTTTTTAAGGCCAAATGGGATGCATGTTCTCCTACGGGATATTTGTTTTGTATCATAACATACCTTTGATTCTAACGTTTGTTATTCCTTCTGGATTTTCTGATTACCCATCTCGTTCCTACTGTGTATGGTATACATGGCTATTTGAAACTTTTTTTTTTTCTTTTTTGGTTCTTTGTTCTTATTCACACTATACAACATGAAAGCTGTTGTACTTGCTCTGTTTTTCTGTCGAATAGGTCTTTGACCTTCATTAGGCCTGGTTCACACTGATGTGGCTCTGCAAGGCGCGTTTTGCGTGGGCACTGCAGCCCATTCATTTGATTAAGCCGCCGTGCCTCCTGAAACATAGGAAAAAGGTCCCTGCAGCATTTTTAAAAATCGCAGCCCACACAGGAACCACAAGTACAGTGCGGTTTCCAGTGCAGGAGTAATTTCCAGTGCATGCGGAGAGCCATTAGGATGAATGGCACCTGTACACATCTCCTGAATTTTTCTGTGCAGGCGATTGTGGCTGCGGGAACGAGTGTGGTCCCGCAACGGTAATCACCCGCACAGATGTGAACCTAGCCTCACATTTTTTGTATTGTATCTTTACAAATAAAGTTTGTTAAACAAGAACTATAGAGGAAAGTGCTTTGTTATGTTTTCAGATCATTAAGTTGCTGATTTTTTCAATAAAGAATTTTAACACAATTTTTTTCCCCCATGCAGAGGTATTCTGCTCACAGGAGCCGAAGGGACTGGTCTTGCGATTGGAGTTGCAGTGAGTATATTTCAGCTCCCTAATCCCCTAAACCAGGGGTGGGCAACTGTGGCCCTCCAGCTGTTGTAGAACTACAAGTCCCATGAGGCATTGCAAAACTGACAGTAACAAGCATGACTCCCAAAGGCAGAGGCATGATGGGACTTGTAGTTCACCAACAGCTGGAGGGCCACAGTTGCCCACCCCTGCCCTATACAAAAATGAGCAGTTAAGCCATGCACTGCAGGCACATCCCCACTGCATGGGCACAAAAAAATTGCCCGAACTTCAGCTTTAACTGACCCACAGCTACTCCTGACTACTGGAAGCAACAGAAAACAGATTAGTAAACACAAATTACCTCTAAGAAACACCAACACGGAGACTGTGTCCATCCAGCTAAATAGTGTAAGAATCATGAAAGGTTAACAACCTGCTGCCAGTGTTGGCCAAACCACAAAGGCATACAAAACTGCTTGCTTGGGTGCTATATGAAGCAACAGCACTATTGCCATCAGTCACTTCCATCTGTGATAACCACATAAATGGCTTGCGAGAGAGGTGGGAGACAGTCTCTCAGGATTTCCGGCTAAATGTTATCTCTTGGTTTCAGCATCTGGGTAGAATGTTTGTCAAACGTGAGTCCCTGTGATTGTCTAGATCTGTACCACCTAAGCAGAGATGCTGCCAAAGCAGAGCACCAAGCTATTTAAACATATTCCTTCCCAATGTTGTTGAAAGTTTCAAAAACAATCATATGGTACTCCTCTTGTAACAATATTTTAAGACTTTATGATTGCATTAGGCTCTGAAAATTGACTGAAGCTTTTACTGTCATATTTCCAGTACTTTCTAGTGTTGTAGGAATATAGTGAATTTCCCATCCAAAGTATGGAATCTGCTTTATAGTTTATCCTTGGGGTTGCCACACTGGACTAATTTTATTCTGAAGACCCCAGAAAACTCTTCCAAAACTCTTTAAAGATTTTCAGATGACTGGCTTCCTACTCTAGGTAATGTTTTGCAATCCTATTACAAAGGCTTTTAGCTGTTATCCCATGTTCAGGTTTTTATTCAGGCTGCTGAGATGTGCAGGAATAAAAAGCATACAGGGTTTATAAGGGTTTTCCTCTAAAACGTTATCTGGTATAGAAATAAGCCAACTAGGACTCTAGTCCTCTTCCAAATGAGCAGCTTCTTTAACCTGTTCCCAATGAGAACACCACTTCATGTACTGATGCCAAGAATGAGAGAGTATATATGTAGGTTAGGCAGGATGGAGTTAACAGGACAATCACATGAAAATGTGCTGCATTCTCAAACAAATGAAGACTGCATTTGTGAGTAGCAACAGGTTTAGGGTTCATTCACACGTGCAGTGAAACAGCACTGGGTGGCTATTCCAGTGCAGTCACACCGCATAACAAGGCAAAATGCCTTTTCACCCCATCTACCTGGTTCACACCACTGTGTTGCGGTGGTGTGCGCTGAAAAAAAAAAAACAGTACTTTGTTTTAGCGCAGGGCAATCTACTGCCTCGCACCACATGGCCAGCTACTGAACCTTACTTATGAGAGGTCTGTGTGACATCCAATAAGCAGTTCACAATAATATGATTGAGTAGTTTTCTAGCAACATAAATTATGTTTTATGTAGGAGAGGATTGTCAGAATTGGCCTGCACTGGAAGTGGTTAAAGAAGAAAAAAAAAAAAAAAAAAAAAAACACACACAAGTCAGACCTTAACCACAGACTTGCACAGGGTATTATGCAGTGCAACCTATTTGAAAGCAGAGCCTGCATATATAAAAGGAAAGTATGGCTGCACTCAAATTATTATTTACAGAAGAGGTTTTCTAAAATAAAGGTATATCTAAACCCAAGAACAAAATAAGTTGCAGCTTATCAAGCCTTAGATGTGATGGCAGTAATAGTTTTGTTTTTTCAGGCCACGAACATTTTTAGCAAGTACAGAAAAGTATTTGTTGATCTGGCTAGAAACACGGTTTTCTTGTCACTTCACATATCAGACAATGTTATCACCCCTCAAAGCTATCTTCTGCAAACTGAAATTTCTTTTTACACCAGTACCCCCCCATTTAATGGAGATGTAGAAGGGGGCACATTAGAGAAGCAGCATAGACTGAAAACACGGTTTCTCCATAGATACCTAGAACAGAAAACATGATTGAACAAAAAAACAAAGAAAAAAAAAAACTAAAACTAATGCAGACACCACATCAAAAGGACTGTAAGCTGTAATGTATTAAAGTGGTGGTGTGTAAACAAAAAAAAAAAAAAAAAAAAAAAAAAAAAAAGAAAAAAGGTGGGCCCCTGCAGGATAATGTCATAACGTGCTAGTATGCATTGCATACTAGCACATTATCACAAGCTTACCGTAAAACGCAGCCCACCAGTGGCACACTGTCACTGCTGACAGGGCTTCCAATTTCACCCTGGTCTTCCTTTCAGGTTCACGGTCTCCAGCTGAATGGCTGAGCTGTGAGGACGTCATTCCTGCGCATGCACAGGGGAGTCAGCCACAGTTTACTCAATGGACGGCATGTCGTCCATTGAGTGCGCAGTGCGCATGCACCAGTGACTTCAACAGATGCTACTAAAGTAAATGTCTCCTAAACTGTGCATATACAGTGCTCAGCATAAATGAGTGCACCCCAACAGATTTATGAGAAAACCTTTACTTTCCTTTCAGAATCAACATTTTCTATGGGACACTATACTACAAAAAACACTACCACAAATGCGGGCCATTGATTGCAAACAAGATGTTAATTTACACACACAAAACAAGTATTTTTCCTAACAAATTCATTCAAGACCATGTTACAAAAATGAATACACCCCAATTAAAATTTTAGGAGCAAAGCTAAATTTTAGACAACAAAATCCTAATTAACAAGAATTCAATTGCCAAGTACTGTATGTCTCCTGATCGGAACCCAATCGAACTCGATTTCTGAAGAGACAAGTTGAGCATCACTCTCCATCCAGCATCCAGGCTCTAAAAGAGGTCAGTCTTGAAGAATGGAAAAAAATATAAATGTTGCAATAAGTCACCAATGCCTTGAAGACTTGGTGCTGTCCTTACAAATCATGGAGGTCACATAAAATACTAGATGTAGTAGTTTTTGTTGAGGAGTGTATTCATTTTTGCATCAATTAATTTGAGTAAAAGTGAAGATTTTATAATCCAAGTTATATTATTAACCTTACTTTCATGTAATGAGCTAAACAAATGTTCTATAAAACTTAGTTTTGTCAAAATTTAGCAAACTGTTCTTGTGTTCATTGAGATATTGATTAAAATCTTACTTTTCAGATTGGGTGTACTCATTTATGCTGAGCACTGTATAGATTGTACCTATAGGTATGCCTTATTATAGGCTTACCTCTAGATATAAACAAAGCAGCGTTTACTACCGTTTTAACTATTTGTTTTAGATACATTTTAGCTCCTTCTGATAATTGTTTTGTGTATGTGTAATAATATATTAGTTTCCATTTAGGCGAAAAGCCCACTTTAAAACTGATCATCACTAACATTGCTCCTCAAACAGTCTTACTTACTTCTGCCTGGCAGTACTAGTATCCTTGGTTCGAAACCCAACAACGGCACTACCTGCCTGGAGTTTGCATGTTCTCCCTGCACTTGCGTGGGTTTCCTCCGGGTACTCCTACACTCCAAAGACATGCTGGTAGGTGAATTGGCTCCTGTCTAAATTGGCCCTAGTATGTGTTTGTATGAATTTGAGTTAGGGACCTTAGATTGTATACCCCTTGACAGGGTTAGGGACTGATGTACAATATATGTGTAAAGCGCTGCGTAAATTGACAGCGCTATATAAGTACCTGAAATAAATAAATGTAAAGGACCAGGTCTAACTTCAAGTAATGAATTGTTAAAAGTGTCACGAGAATGAAATGCAAAAAGACTAAACTGGACAAAAATTGCCAGGAGTGTTTTTAGCTTTTTGTAAAGCATAAGTTAAGCAGAGCGGGAGTAGGAGCTGTTTATGTATGCTGCCTGTCTACTACCCAATAAACTGTCTGCTATAAGCTGCTGGAGACAAGATGAGAAGTCCAAATATTATTTGCAGTACAAACAGAGCTGTTAAACAAGCATCCACTTTCACTTGTGTAAAGAGAGCTGGTCACAACCTGTGAAAAAGGCTGGTTTGCAGCAGACTTAAGGCATCTCAGCTAACATGATCAGTATGGAGGATCTCATTACGCTGGCAGTTTCACCCTTCACAGAGTCCACAGCAATCTGAGGCTAGGAGATACTTAATTTGAATTCATGTATTAAAAACCATCAGTGTTGATTTAAAGCATAGCTGTCAACTGATTGCCTGCAGGCCGGATGCGGCCCCCATGTGGATTTAATCCAATGCCCGACGTAGTCAACGAGTCAAACCAAGCAGGAGAGGAAATCAATGGGAAATATGTGCAATACGGAGATGGAAAGGCAAGGAAGCATAAGATCATGGAGGTGTAGCAATGATGAAAGGCTAACAAAAGGTAATATGCCTTCTTTTACACCAACATGCAAAGACTACGTACTGATGTTGATGATACTGGGTAAATTGGAAGTCAAAGCAAATTTCTTTTAACGCTGTATCCCTCTACTAGTCAATGTGGCTTGCAGAAATTAAACTTAGCAGGGGCTTTAAATTGGTTGTAAAGGCTCAAGGGTTTTTACCTTCATGCATTCTATGCAAAAAGGTAAAAAAACCTTCTGTGTTCAGCAGCCTCCCCTAGTACTTACCTGAGCCCGATCTCGACCCAGCAATGTTCACAAGAGCAGCAGCTCTCTGGGTTCTCTCCCTTCTCACTGGCTGAGACAGCAGTGGGTGCTTACGGCCAATCACAGCCAGTGAGCCAATGAGGAGAGAGAGGGGGGCAGGGCCAAGACACAATCTGAATGTGAATGGACAGACAGAGCAGCAGGTCAGGAGCGAGCTTGCTCCCCCCCCCCCCCCCATAGCAAGGTGTTTGCTCTGGGGGCATTTGGAAAGAGGCAGGGGATAGGAGTGCCAGTGGGGGACCTGAGAAGAAGAGGATCAAGTATACTCGCAAACCCACTGCACAGAACAGGCAAGTATAACATGCTTGTTATTTAAAAAATAAATAAGAATCAGCCCTTAATACCACTTGAACCCTTCCCAGACCAAAAACTAAAAATGTTTGGGCT